TATATATATATATATATATATATATATATATATATAAAAAATATTACATTTCTAGTTGCCTGAGCATTTTGTTAGTCCTATAGTGGACTGGCGGAAGATAGAAGAGAGCAAGCAATGTTACAGGGGAATGTCAGGTGATGTTTCTGTAGTTCTGTGTTATCTGGGTTTACAAATGTACTAATAGGATGAAGGATAATTAATGCTAACCCAGTTTCTGATTTGTATAAAGTTATCGTATTTAATTTTGACCTGATTACACACTTTCTTTCTCATAGAAAGCAGCAGTGAGTGTATCATCTCCACCAGCCCAGAGATAGAAAGTTTTGATTATTCATTGCAAAAAAGCTATCTATGAAAGAATTATGTTCTACTTATCTCTTGATATAAGGAAAATAGTGGAGAGTGGATTGCAAAAGTGGCCTCCCTTAATAATAACCTCCAAAACCATTTCCATGATTGGTATTGATCTTTCCCTCTAAAAGGTAGAAATGGACTCAGTCTTCCTTCAGTTTTCAGCTTGCTGAAGCCATTGAAGTCAAGTACTGAAGAAGCTCTTTTTATCAAACATTTAATCATTAACTTCCACTGACTGTCAGCAGAGTTAGGGAACCAGGAAGCCCAACCTGGCCACTGGGAAACTCATCACAAGTAACATGGTACAGAGATCTCCCCAGCCTCCAACTTTAAAAATTAGCCTAGCCTACCAATCCCTCCAATCTCCCCAAGTTTCCTGCAGGCTTAGAACAATAGGTCATTTTTAATGGAAAAGTTCCACTGAATCTGTGAACTGACAAAGATGGATTCTCTATATAATGGGATGTTCTTTGTATTTGAGCATTAACTGTGCTGCAAAAATCATCCCCGTTTGGTCTCTAAAAGAGAATATGCTTCTAAAAGGGAAGATGCAACATAATTCTGGGTGCTGAGTCTAATTTTGGGCCACCTGTGTGCATTCTCAGCCATGAAGCAAATCAGTGCAACCTTTACTCATCTTCCTGGGTGAAAGTCTGTTTACTGCCAGGAATGCAGCTATATATGCTGCATGATTAAAGGCCATATTGTCTTTAAGTCTAAGCAAGCTAAAAATAATACCGAGTTGTGAGCTAACTTTGAGAATTTAGAGAAGTTTACTGCAAAAGGGGACAGCTGGTGTTTGGAAGATTAGGAGTGAGAGATTGGGGAGGGGATAAAGAAAAAAATGGAGATCCTGAGCTGCTATCTTCCTTCTCTGTCCTATTTCTGCAGCAGCTTCCTGATTTAAGTGTCCATCTGTGTGAGAATTGTAATGGACTAATGAAGTGCCTATTTTTGCAAAGGAGATACACAAAGTTCTCTCTTGGATGGGGTGAGCTAGCACTGGCTCAGGTATCTATCAATGAAATATCAGTCTTTCAATCATCAAGAAGTCTCAGGGAGCCTCATTTCCCAATACCCTTCTTGTTTTATTGCTCTTTTCTTTCTCTGGCAAGGAAGGAACACGGTTCCTTAGTGAGGGTTGATGTTTCTGGTGCCTTGTCGGAATCATGACAGTTAAAAATAAAAGGTCTCAAGTCATTGTTCAGACTGCCAAGACAAACCATAGAATGAACTGGCATAGTGGTGAAGCTGCTTCACTTATGCAGGAAAATGCCAACTGTGCATAAACCCAATGTTAGGATCAGAAGAGCTCATATTGAGTCATGCTGGCTAATTCAGCCCAGGAAAGTTCTTAGTATTTCAAGGGAGCAAATAAAAATATTCTCCAAACAGAGATATTTTTTTGTTGCTGAACTTGTTTTTTCTAGTGTTTTCGCAGAAAGGTGGGGGAAAGCTTTCAGAGCTGCTTGAAGTAGCGGCTAACAGTCTGACACATTCCTTTTCTAATTAGGAACCTGGTAGCAAAAATGCAAGAGACATGGTAGGAAAGATAGGCAGAAAATACTAACATTTTTCTGGTGAAATCCAGACAGCCACTAGATTGCAACAAAGGGCTGGCATTTTCTGCCTATCTTTCTGCCTATCATTCATGCCATCTCAGAGTCTTCTGGATTTTTGTAGTCCTAATTTAGAATAGAATGCTGCATGAGAATAGAGCTTCGTCATGGCATAGCATTATTGGGCAAAGATTTGAGAAGGAAGGAAAGATGGTGATCCCATTGACCAAAACACCTTGAATACCTCCTCCTTAAAGGTAATCCCATCAAAAATGAGATATCTGTTTTACCTGAAAACTAGTGACACCCTTCTTCAGGTTTCCAGAGGAAAAACTGATCTCAAGAAAGCATGGGAGGTACCATCGCATATATAATTGAATATTTCAGTGTAGACCTCAAAAATGTTTTAAGAATCAAATTATTTGTAAATAACCTATTTGTTTATTGTTTATAGCTCAATGTTGTCAGATATTCTGTTATTTTGTGTGTGTGTGTGTGTGTGTGTGTGTGTGTGTATGGATAAATATATATGTACACATATATGCATACATACATACTTAAACACACTTAACAAATTGATCTATTGAAGTGGTACAAATTGTCTAGACGTATAACATATATATCTAGGCAATGTGTAAGATATATATCTTAAAACCTTCTTAAAGGAAGTCTGCAGTTGAATGTAGTATTATTTAATAACCCTTCACTATTGTGATACAGTTATTCCATAAGACAGTCTTTACTTCCTCAAAGTAAGATGCATCACTGCTTCTCAGCAATGACTGAAGAAAATGATTGTAAATAACAGATCCATCCATCACAAAAATATCATAGAAGCCTACTGTGCTGGTGTTTTCAGTGAGAACATATATTGGAGGAGAAAAGAATATAACCCAATTAAATAGAGTATTTGCGATCTAGGTTAAGGTATATACACATACATTGCATTATATTGGCACTCCCAGAATATGCTAAATTAATCCATTTTATGGGTTTGTGCAACAATCTAAACCAAGGTCCCAAGTTTACATGCTATGTTGTGACACATGTATGCACATACAAAAACCCCACTTGGCATGTTACTTGCCTGACCCTATTAAATGTGTTGTGTGAGTACAATCTTATACATAAGATAATAACCCACTGCACATGCTCCAAAAAGTCAGTTCATGAAGATCCATTGGTTCCCTTTAATGCAGACAGTTCAATCTATCCAATTGCAGAGAATAATTACAGAATATCACTATATCTATTTTTTTCCTTGTGAGCTTTTCAAGGATGTGTTGAAGGAAGGTGGATGGAACATAAGTACTCATGGATAGAAAAAAACCATTTAGTTTTTCAGCATTGTGTGCCATTTATTATTCATCCCATTAAATTGTTCAGGTTAGGGAATATATTCTAACCAGAATCAAACTCCCTAATACAGATGGAAAACTAATCAAAAGAACACATGCGATTTGTCTAACTCTTGCTTGTGAGCTGCCTGGGCTTATGCTACATCAGATGGGCAAGTTCTACAAATCCTTTAAATAAATAAATGTACACTGGAAAAGTCATAAGAAATCCTTGTAACATTTCTGAAGGTAGGACTGAATCAAATATAGAGCAAAATGTAGTTATTATTGTAATCCTGTGCATTTTTACTCAGAAATAACTTATTTTAAATTCAGTGGGTTTTATTCTAGGTCAATGATGTAGAATTGCAACTTAAAAATAGGGTGCATAAATAACAAGGAAAAGTAATATTTAAAAATGTACAGATGCCATTATTGCTGAGATGTTCCAAACGAAAGGACTACCTTCCAGTCTTAATGCCTTGTGCTATATGAAACTGTAAGTGAAGATACCTCTAGTGTAGACAGTGCAATTTGATCATGCTGTAAAAGAGCTGGAGTGACAATGCACCTTATACAAGCAAAAAGTTTTGATTCAAAACTGGAATTACTGCACTGGTATTAACCAATATCTGAGAAATAGAATGTCTATCCCCCAGACTTTTCCAGCCTGGTTCCTTTGACTTTTCTGTCAGTGACATCTGGGAGCTGTAGTCTAATACATCTGGAGCATGATAGGTTAGAAAAGCTGGCATTTGTAAGAGAATTGTTTAAAACTAGCCTATCGTTGCTTAAGTGTCCCAATGGAATGTTTAACCTATTGATATGATGATGACGACGATGATGATCCTAAAAGAAAGAAAATATTAAAATATTCTTATGGAATTGGCTTTTGCTTCTGCCAACATTTCTTTTCTCTGCTAAGCTCTGGTTTTAAGCAGCTGGATTCTTTTTATCTTTGAAACCCTCTGCACAGACTACTTCTCTGCTCCCACATGCACAGCACAGGCTTCAGCTAAGGTCAGAACTCGCATTCTCCATGCAGGAGCTGCCAATCTTTGAAGTGCTGTCTTAATTTTCTGTGTTTTTCATTTGCCCTGATTGACCTTGGATGATGCTTAATAAATGAGCAAGACATTTACTGAGAAAGATTGCCCATAGTGCCTTGAAAAATTGCATTTTAATGAGGACCAATTTATGCTCCATAGTAATAAACTCAGTCTAGAGACAGTGGTTATCACTGGACTGTCAACGTTAGGTTGCTTAGCATCCTTAGAGGAAG